AAGAGGGCTACACCCAAGAGAAGAACATTAGGTGAAGAACATAAACATTTACGCTCACCCAAGAGGGCTACATCCACGGGTACAAAACATTGGGTGAAGAACATAAATATTTACGTGGTTTACCCAAGAGGGCTACATCCACGGGCACATCAAACTGTAATCCACTGTACCAATGAAAATTACATAAAAGATTTTAGAATAAAGAGTTACCTCTCTAAACCTCGACAAAAACTCAAGTCGAGCAAACCCTTTTAAACCACTCTCCCTTCGTTCTCTTTACTTATGCTCTCTTTACTTCTGTCAACTATTACCGACGACACCAGATAGAGACATGAGAGCAACGAGAAACTAATTATCATCTTTACTTCTATTCTCTTTAATTATGTTCTCTGTACTTCTTCTATTCTTTTTACTTCTGTCAACTATTACCGACGACAGCAGGTAGAGACAGACATGAGAGTAACGAGAAACTAATTTTATCTTTAAAAAATTTATCACTATTAATCTCAATCCTATATAAAAAAATAGAGTAATGATCCTATGAGACTCTCCCACACCCATATATGTAGGACTCTAAAAGATCACCATTAAATTTGATACAAAGCTCTAAAAAAGTTATCACATAAGCGAGGGACTTGACTTTTTTAGAAATCTTTACCAAATTTAATAGTGATTTTTTGGGGTCTTACACACTTAAATTTAAACGGATTTTACATTGCCATTTCCCCTAAAAATATATCAACTCTAGGATTTAGCTTATTTTAGATTGTACCAAATGCATCATCAATTGCATGGTTTCATCCCGCCTAACTCAATCAACGTCATGTCTTCATCGCGCCTGACTCAAATCGAAGAGGAAAGGCGGCTAAAAGCACGTGGAGACGAACACTCATTCTAAATACTTATCCACTCATTCTTTCCTTCCCATGCTTTCATTTTCTTTTAGAGAAAAGGAAATGATCCAATAAAAACAGGAGCCCCCACTTACGGTGGATTAGTCCCATGTCCCAGTAATTTTTTAATTTCTTCTTACCAAAACAGCTAATCATCAAAACTATAATTTACTTGTGATGCTTTTCTTTTTCTTTTTTGAATGTTAAAATATCATCATTTTAATGTTCAAATCTGTGTACGTTTTGTTTATAATCTGATTTTACACAGAAAGAGGCGGTCGATCGGTTCCTTTTATTGGTCAATATGATTTTACATAAAGAAAGAGGTGTCACTATGCTTCTAGAGAGAGAGAGGGAGAGAGGCCAGAGAGAGAGGGCTTTATGAGAGAGGCCACAAAGAGAGAGAGGGAGAGGGCTTTATGAGAGAGGCGAGAGAGAGAGAGGGCTTTGTGAGATGGACTAGAGAGAGAGAGAAGGCTTGTGAGAGAGGCGAGAGAGAGAGGGCGTTTGTGAGAGAGACTAGAGAGAGAGAGCGAGGTGAGATAGAAGAGAGAGAGAGGGGGGGGAGGAGAGGCTTAGGTAAAGTTCTTTTTTTTTTGATGAATGATTTATGTAAAGTTGAGATAGACGGAGAGAGTATCGTTTGGCATTTCGGGCCGGCTACGGGCTCGGAGGCCCAGCCGTAGACTACATCGATTACTTTTAAGCTCGGCCCAGTCTGAAATCTGAGAATACTTCTAAAATGGGCCTAAACCAGGCATGGCCCAAAAATCCCAAACTCGGCCCTGACCATTGGCAGGCCTAACTATTATCCTTTGATCCTCATTAACTGTAAAGTTATGCGACATTAATGCAATAAGTAGAGACCGAGCACTGAAATACGAAGGTATGTATCACAAAATATGGTCCAAGGGCTGGGCCTGGGTTGGGCAACACGGTATGAGAGCAAGGCCTGGGCAGGGTCGCTTCAGCATAGAACGGACCAGCCCATTCGTAGTCCTTACGATGCCTAAGATTCCTTTGTTTTTTTTGACAAGAGCACATAAATTTCATTGCTAGGAAATAATTACAAAAGGTTTACACATCCAGAGAAGAAGAAATGGCCACAGATTGTAAATGGACTCTAGCTTTTGCCAATAAATCCGCTTATCATTTGGCTCATGGTAGATATGTTGGAATGATATAACATGGGCATGATAAAGTTCAACAATTTCTATAAAAGATTCCCATAAATTCTAGGCCGGTCTCCCAATAAGATTGCATCAGAGATGATGACATTCAAAGAATTCCCTTCCACCACCCAAAATAAATTAACATATTTTTTTTTCAAAATTTTCAAGTCATACAACAAAGCCAAAATTTCAACTTTATTAGCAGTAGCCTCCCACATAAGCCTGCCTAAAAAAGAATAAAGAACCAAACTATCAGAATTTAAGACTATCCCTCTAACCCCCTCTGGATTCCCCGACTTTTTATTTAACAAGAAATCCATTTTTCACACCCCATTCATTCCCTTATACTATAAAAAGTAACTAGTACACTTAAGCTGAAAATACCAATTAATCATTTGGGTTTGGCTTCCTTATCCTAAAAAAAATATATATCAATATTTTTTCTTTTTTCTTTTCTTCATGTCATCCAAAAAAGAGAAGGCATTTTATCTGTTTTGTGTACCCAATGTTTAACTTGCGTTTTGTTTCTCCTCTTATATTCCTTTTTCTGGATGTAAAAGTCCTTGTTATTAGTAGGTTTTTATACAATTGAGTAAATTGTCGTGTTCATATTTAAGCAAAATATCCATAATTAGCCTCTGATAATTCAATGATATTCTTTCCCCATTTACAGTTAGGTGGGGTGCCAGGTTTAGGTAAGTATGGATGACATCTATTGATCTCTATCTCCTTTGACCAGCTGAATATGTTCATGTATATCCATTAGAATCAATAAATGAGGCCTATCCGTTTACTGGTTACTTGATACTCTCTCTCTCTAGTATGGGCTAATATACTATAATAATAAGATCCATGGAGCATAACCTCCAATTTTATAAAGGGCATCAAAACTAAGTAGCATTACCTCATAGAGTTGGAAAGGAATGATCTTCATCTAGCAATACATTATTCGTCTCTCTCCAAGACTCAAATGCATGCACGAGCATAGCATACTCCCTCTGTCAGAAGACCTATTTGGGAGATTCAATCTAAAATTTTGGGCCCCTAAGAATGTCTAGATTATAATTGTGAAAGAAAAAATTGAAATTGAATTTCTAACACTTAGATATCACCCTCTAAAAATTAAATTGGATAGTTTCTATATTTGGGTGAATTGGACGGTCTCAATTCAATCTTGAGGCATCATATTTTTCCAGTGCATGGATGGCGCATTTAGGAATTTTTCCCTTCATGTTAATCTAAGGTTATATCCCTAAAATTTAGAGTCTATAAAACTAGTCTTAGATATGATATTATCTGAAGGAGTAAATAGATAGCATACTCCTGCGGGTGCATAATATCTTAACAAAGCGAAGATTGGACCGTCGATGTCGACAGTGTCTTTTGTCATGTCATTCATTCATTGACGGCCCTTGTCCTGCGAATGCTCGCTCGTGTCCTTTTCCTTGTTTAGGACGAGCTTTTTGAACAAGTCACGTGACATCACAAACTATAAAAATCCAAATACTCTTGATGGACGGCCCAGATATCCGTGCCGAAAGCCATTTTATACGACAAAAGCCAACTACGTTTTTGATGGACGGTGCGGATTACTTGAACACAAATCATCCGCTTTCAAAGAAAAACAAGAAAGTCTTCGAGTCCTTATCACAATTATTTCTATTCTTTCAGTGACACAAGCCAAGTCCCATGTCCCACGTGTGACAATTCCTGACCCGAGCAAGATCCAAATAGCAAGTATGATTAGCCCGGACCTTTGGCTCTAAATCCCTAATCCAAACTCATGGACGTTATAAGAAGAGATCACCTGTTACAACGGTACACATTTATTGTTCACGTGATTCGATGATAACGGGGCATGGCGTAAAAATTCATAATTTTTAGAAAATTAATGGCTATTTTTAAGTTCTTTTTAAAAGAGTAATGGCCCTATGAGACCTTCATACACCCATATGTGTAGGACCTCGAATGATCACCATTAAATTTGGTATGGATCTTTAAAAAAGTCGAGTCCCAGATCCATTATGTGATAACTTTTTTAGAGATCCGTATCAAATTTAATGGTGATTTTTTGGAGTCTTACACATATAAATGTGGGAGGGTCTCATAGGATCATTACTCTTTTCTAACAAAAGTCAAGAAAGTACTAAGGTATTTCAAATTTTAATATAGGAAATAATTCGTGTAATGTTGCACCATTATACTATAGAAGTAAGGTGCATGTAAAAAATCGAGTAGAAAAGAGTATTTCAAAGTTAAAAAAACCTTCAAATTGATCATCGTATGGATATAAAGAGAAAAATAAATAAATATTTAAAAAAATATATCTTATAACAAGTCACTTAGGCCACCATTTTCAAGATGTTGGGGTGAGCCATTTACTAAGCTCAAAATTCAAAAAGACTTTTCTCAAACTTTGCAGCACAACCATAACCTTTAGATTCCACGTCTGACTACTCCGACCTTCTTGCACAGGAGCTAAATGGTTTCATAATCCCCTTAAAACAAAGCCAGAATAATATTTCCCCTTTTCTCCGGTCCACCATCTTCCCACCATTTGACTTCATAACGGAGTCGCGCCACCATCAGAATTATGTAACGGTAATGGTAAAAGCGATTTAACGTTTTTGTTTGGTTGAATCTTGAAGTGGAAAGTCACACGTGCAAGTTGTCCACAACAGAACGGCCCGTGGCTGCCAACGTCAAGAAGGGCATTTGCGGTGTTCATAAGCATGTGACGTATACGGAGACGCATTATGCCCCTTGCCCTCACTCGATACGTGTCACGAACTTATAGGTCGTAATTCCCTCACGTTTTCTTTATCCGATTCCTGATCCGACGGTCCAAGTCTCATTGCTTAGAATACGACGCTTCTCCTATCCATCACTCTCGTGTGTATATATAAAAGGTGTGTGTGTGTGTGTGTGCGCTCATTTGAGGTGTGATGATCTTTGCAAGGCAAGCTAAGGTAACAGATATCATAATTTAAGAGGAAGGAAGAGAGGGATTCATTCATTTAAGAGAGGGAGAGAGAAGGGAGGTTTAGAGAGAGAGAGAGGATGGTTATGTTGGATTCTCTTCCACCTGGTTTTAGGTTTTATCCAACAGATGAAGAGCTAGTGGTCCATTACCTCTCCCAAAAGGCCATGTCTGATGCCTTCCATTTTCCATTGATCACTGAGATTGAACTCTACAAGTTTGATCCATGGGAACTCCCAGGTACCCAACTTTGTACTCTCTCCCCCCAACCTCGTATTCTCTTTCCCATTTCTTTTTTTTTTTTTTTTCTTAATTGTGTTTATCTTAGAGTGATTTACTTACTGCCTTTTAATTTTTTTTCTAAAATACGAAATGCAGAAATTATAATCGTTGGTCAACTCATATTTTTTTTATTTAATCCAAAATTGCAGCCCTTGATGGAATCCTTAGCCCGAATTTAAATTTTTTTTTTTTTTAGTTTTTTCGTTTGTAGAGCAATGACCCGAGTGTTCAGGCAGTGCTCTACTAACAAAAAAACAAAAAAAAGAATTAAAATTCGGTCTGTCCTAAGACCAAGGGGCAATTTGAAAAAAAAAAAAGAAGAAAAAGGACAGGTCCACCTATAAATAGAGTATTTTGTATTTTAAAATTTTTTTTAAGATCTGTAGTTAAATCACGGTTTATTTTATATGGTCTCTCCTTTTTCTTAAAAAAAAAACAAAAAACAAAAATGTGTGCGCCTTAGATGCTAATGGATGTTTTGGCAATGGTTTGGTACAGAGAAGGCAGTTTTTGGAGAGAGAGAATGGTACTTCTTCAGCCCAAGAGAGAGGAAGTACCCAAATGGGACGAGGCCAAATAGAGCTGCGGTCTCTGGTTATTGGAAGGCAACAGGCACTGATAAGTCGATCATGGCAGGAAAGGAACAACAAATAAAAATAGGATTGAAGAAGTCACTTGTGTTTTACAGGGGAAAAGCACCCAATGGGACCAAAACAGATTGGATCATGCACGAATATAGGCTCGCCAATTCTATTCTTCCTAAGCGTACCACTCACAAGGTCTCTCTACTTTTCCTTCTCAATGCTACTCTTTCTTTCTTTGCATGTACACACACACACTAAGTTTTTTTTTTTGTTTACTCTTTCTTTCTTTGCATGTACGTACACACTAAGTTTTTTTAGTTTGTTCTTAAATGTGGATAAATTCCTTTTTTGGGCATTACTCACAGAGATCATATCTTTGATGTATTATTTAGAAAAATAAGATTTTCTCTTTTTTTTTGGAGAACTTTTAGAAAATTAAGTATTCTTAAGAGCAGGTTTGGTATGCATGAAAATAGCAGCTTAAAAGTATTTTCAAGTAAAAAAACTCCTTCTTGTGATTAGCTATATGAGTTTTTTCACATTGCCAATTAGTGTGAAAAAATGCATTAGGACTAATTGGTGTGAATAAACTTTCAGACCAAATCATACGAGGGAGTTTTTACACGTGAAAATACTTTTATATTCATGTTTACCACAGTAAGAACTTAGTAAAACTTGTAAAAGATAGTAATGCATTTGTCTAAAAATAGCTTTTTTTAAAAAGAATAAAAGTCATGTTCATTGAGTTATGTTCTTGAAATATATCAAGTCATGGTGATAATACTAGGGACTCGGAGGTTTTGGGTCTAATGGCAACCTACTAGATTAAGTACCATTTCTTCAATACAAGATACTTCTATATTCCATTTAAGAAAGGAAATCATATCTGCATCACCGCCCCCAACAATTGGATTAGCCATAGCAAAGATAACCTTCTTTGTTTAATAAAAATTAAACGGTGTAGATTCCCTTTTTCTTTTTAGTTAAAAAATCAATACTTTTTGTGCTCCTATTAAAAGATCAACGTTTTTTTTTTGAAGTGTTAACTTGGGACCTCGATTGGAATTTAATGTTAACTTGGGACCTCACTAGAAAGGAACTCCAGACGTACCATACCCTGCCACTATAATCACCAAGGCCTGGAGGCCATTTCCTAAACAAAGACTAATACTCACATTTATTTCTATAAGGTGTCAACCTTAAAACAAATTTAAATCTTGCTAAAAGATGCAGTGTCAGTAAACGTTCTTATGACCAAAAAATTTACTTTCATCCCTAAATTATAAAATTTAGAAGTCCAAAATAGTGTAGATCGAGCGTGTCTATAAACAGTCTGAAATTTTGAAAATAGACAATCTTAATAAAGTATTACTATATACACCATTTTAAAACTAAACTCGAAATCTTTTTTAAAAAAAAAAAAAATCCACAAATCTCGAGGTTGAGATGATCAAATTAGTATTTTACAACCGAACAACCTTGCTGGTGAATTTTTGGGGTACACCTTACTTCTACAGTGCAAAGTTGATACCTTCTATGAATTTTTTCCTTCATAAAAATTTGCTAAAAATATGAAACTATAGCATTTTTCTCATTTTTTGGGTTTCTTGTGGCATAGGTGGATGATTGGGCGCTCTGCAGAATATACAACAAAAGTAGTAATGGGGCGACAGTAACCCAAATGAGTGGGCCATCGATGAAGCCAATGCCTGATGAGGCTCGGTTTCGGCTTCCTCCACTCGTGGACGAACCCGTAGTGAATCTGCACCAACCAAGCTGGGCTTCATCTCTTCCAACTCAACCTCAGCCTCCAACCCAGCCCCAGCCCTTCTTTGAGTTTGGGTTGGATGACTGGTTGGAGAGCCTTCCAAGCTCAGGAGATGATGCTGCTTGGCCTCCTACTTATTACATTAGTGGTGACCAGATAAAATGAGGCAAAGGGAACAAAGAGCAAAACAGAGGTTCTAACTCAATTTGATTTTGGTGTTTACAACACCAACTCATTCATTCCCATTCATTTGGTGAGAATTTGGGCCTACCTACCAACCATTTCAGGGTCTCTGTGAGGTCCATACCTAAGTACAGTGTATATTAAGCACTGTAATTTATTCTTGTAGTAATAATAATAATAATAATATAATGGAAGTTTATATTGGACAATAATATTAGGGTCCTCACCCCAACCAAAATCCCTAAACAGGCCTAACCCGAGGGCTTCTTCTCTTGAATGTAGAGAAAGGATCAATGCATGTGGACTTTCTTGCTCCCTAAAAGGTAATCTTGCGTAAAACTCAGATTAGTGGGGTGGATTGTTCACCTACAAATCTCTGTCAGATCATTGGATCGGCAATCCGGATCGAGTCCAAATTTTGAACGAGGAAGAAAATTCTGGTTAAAACTCACTCTCTAAATGCATAAATGTATCACATTCACACCTCGAATGACAAGGCTTGATATCCTTCCCTGAAAAACTTCTTACTTTGACAATTGAAGAATGTGTTCACCTATCAATCGTTGCATGGATCAGTATATCAATAGTGATATAGTATTAAGTTATTAACCATTGGGGCTGTCTATTATAAAACTGACTACCTTTGTGACAGTGTCACGATCACCCTAGCCATGAGATGCAAAATCAGGTGGCTAGAGGAGTGACCCACAGTTTCACCCGACCTTGGTAGCCGGAACCAAAAAATTGGACCCATAAGGTTGGCTCAGGGTCCATTTAACCTAGACCCAACCCGGTTCAAGTTTGGGTCGAGATCCATCTAAAACCTTATGCCTTATTATGGGTTTGTGTTTACCAGACCTTACAATACGTGACCCATGGGTTTTCATTTACCTTTGTTCAGTAAGTACTAGGAGCTACTCGCTCGGCCGAAATTGGATGGGCACGGAACACACACATCGACGGCCACAACACACCATTCATTTTTTAAACAGGATGAAACTCACTCCAAAAAATTGTAGTGCTCAGATAATAATTTTATTATATAAATTTATGTGGAGATATATAGAACGCTTTATTTTTACAATAGCATTGCTATGTACTCGAAGGCCCACCATTGTCTCACCAAATTTGAGTTGGCAATCAGATTTCTCAAAAATAAAGCAAATTGCATGGCAATCGTCTCATAGTAGAACCATCCAAGGCTTGTGGTTCAAAATCATTATTTATTTCAACAGCAATTACACCTATACTTCTTAGCGTTCGTAACTACATGCACCAGACGAAGATCCCATTTGTATGGTCAGATTTTCTTTGCACCCACCATCATTTTAAGTAGCTCTTGTTTCAGAACACCAAAATATATGGAACCCCAAAAATTTCATCTTTGGAAAGTTGAAAAGTTTAACACATTTGGTTCATGTGAAAATAATTTATGAAAAATATTTTCACATAAAAAAATTCCTTCAAAAATTTATGAAAAAATATTTTCACATATGAGAGTATTTTCACAGCAATTTGACCCAATGCATTTTTTCATAGCAATTGACAGCTAATTAATGTGATAATATTCCTGCACCTAACCCCTTACGAGCTGAAAGGGTGGACACCATTGCCATATCAAAATCTTAACAAGAAGCTCATCACAAAAATACTCTCTCGCTCCCAAGCCCTTAACTCATTAATGAATATACGTGACTCGATAAGCATAATTCACAGGGATATTTCTCACTAGTACGGCAGGTTTTCCTCGAGGAATAATATACAAAAAAACCATTTAACACAAGGCTATGAATAATTATCAACCAGCTGCCACTCACAACAAATGAGTTATTCTACTTTATAAAATTTCTCTCTCCAAAAATTACAAGTACAGAGAAATGACAGAATTCAACCCAGCATACAAAAAAAGAAATGCTTCAAAAAATTATAAGTACAGAGATGACAAAATTCAACCCAGCATGCAAAAAAGAAATGCTTTGTAAATAAAAGAGCTACCAAAAGCAACAACCATGTAAACCACCACCAAGAAATATAACCATCTTTTCACATATCAGTCTCACACAATTGTTTATACCATGAATATCCACCACAAGCCTCATTTCAACAAAACCTTTTCCTAAAGAAGAACATCATACCTATAACCATATGTTATCCATTATTAGCTGGACATGGAATGACAATATGCATGGTAGCTGACTATAGCTGCTCCTTGTATCTGAATGGAAAAATGGGATGAATGCGACTACATGTCACAATCACAACAACTTGTTACATGAAAAGAAACAATAAGCATCAGCTGAATTTCACCTTAACACTGCTAACCAGGTATAGCTGCCTCTATAAGATGGCCACATCCAAGTAATCCCCAATCTGGCCAGAACGTTCAAAACGAGTAAATCAGCACATGTAGATATAGTATATACTATATAATGAACAGATCTGACTACATGCATAGTGCATCCTATATTAGAAAACATGTGCATGCATGTATTTTTACCTGAAAACTGAGATCAGCTAACGCCTTCGCATCATCTAGTCGCCTCACATTCCCATAAGCATGAGTCATCCCCACCTTCAAATTTGACAAATTATTTGACTCAGAAAAGATAATTTTACATTTCAAATGGGTTCATTCATTCATTTTTTGGTGCGGTTTGTATAGAGCCGAGGCTCTAAACAATCAAAGTAAAGCGCACCTTCAACTAGTGTCGAGAAATGTGGTTTCAATGCTGGAAATCTTTGTGATAGCCTTAAAATATATTTTTATCTTTAATTATAAAATTTAAAGCTTAAAAAATAGTGTGGATCGCGCAGATCTATGAAAACTTGAAAATTCATTACAATTTGAAATGCACTATTTCCAAAACTTGAAATCCTTTTTTTTTTCTCATGTCCATGCATCTTGATGTCAAGATGATCAATTTGAGGATATTTGGGCATCAAAACAACCTCTTCTTGTAAAATTTTTGAGGTAGGCTCTATATAAACTATTTCCTTTATTTTTTACTTTATTTCTATTTTTATTTTGTTTGTATCAAATGGGTTCATTCTTTCATTTCTCATATGTAAGGCATCTCTTACAGGTTTCACCACAAAGCGGCCATTTTTGTCAGGATACACAAATGCAAACGATAGCTTAGCATCCCTTCTCCTTGCAGCCGGTGCAACCTCTTTGACCTGAAAATTAAGATCAACTTGTAAACACATGATGTAGCAAACAAGCATGGGTATTTAGAGAAAAGGATAAGAAAAGCATTTATTTCACCAACCAGATCAGTCAACTCCCGAAGGGTAGCATCCTTCCATGTATAAATCTGGACCTCATCTTTGGGCTCTTTTCCCCTCACCACAAAGTCTTCCTTGGTGTGATGTCCTCCAATCTGTGAAACAACAATTCCCTTCTAATATATCACAACAGATAGCATGCACATCATAATTTCGATATCTTAGGTCAATAATACAAGAGAATGGAGAGATTGAGAAAGATGTTGTGCATAGAATTAGAGCTAGGTGGGCAAAGTAGACATGTGCATCCGGAGTTTTATGCAATCGCTGCAATACCCATTAAACTGAAGGGAAAGTTCTGTAGGACAACTGTAAGACCAGCCATGCTTTATGGGATGAAATGTTGGGCAATCAAAAAACAACATACCCATAGGATGAGTTTAGCTGAGATGAGAATGTTGAGATGGATGAGTGGCAAGATAAGAAAGGAAAAAATTGAGAATAAAAATATTTGAGGGAATTTAGGTGTGGCGTCAATCGCCATAAGATGAGGGAGTGCTTTATGGGACGGAATGTTGGGCAGTCAAGAAATAACATACCCATAGGATGAGTTTAGCTGAGATGAAAATGTTGAGATGAATGAGTCGCAAGACAAGAAAAGATAGAATTCAGAATGAATGTATTCGTGGGAATTTAGGTGTGGCTTAAATGACAATAAGATGAGAGAGAGTAGACTTAGATAGGTTGGCCATATGCAGCGTAAGATTAATATAACACCAGTCAGGAGATGCAATTTGGTTCGAGTGAAAGGCTCTAAAAGGGCAAGGGGAAAGCCCAAAAGGACATGGATGGAAGTAGTGAAAAAAGATATGGTGATTTATGGTCTTATTGAGGATATGGCCTTTGATAAAGCAGAATGGCAAAACATGATTCGAGATGCCGACTCGAACATGATGATGATGATAGCACGCACATCATAAACAGACTTTCGGGGGTAGACATTCCGATAGAATGTTTGGGGTGTGAAAAGCTTTTGACCATAGTAGTTAGAACAATGAGAGATTCCAAAGTGTTTTAGGAATTGGAAGCAACAAATTGCGAGTGGTCAGAAGCTTCCTATGGTACGAAGCGTGGTCCATACAATGCATATTGTAGGAGTAGAGACTCCTACTCTTTGGGGACTGTGCTCCAACCCAGTTGGAATTGAGATTCCTACATTTTTAGAATCGCTCACCCAACCATTTGGAACCACATCAGAAATCATTAAGAAACCAATTTCATAGGGCAAAAGGTTTGAGGTTCTAGAGTATCCTTAACCAAAAATTCCTTAATATTGGAATGGTTGTATTGAGTAAGTTTAGCAAGGAAATCAAGGTCCTCGACGGTCCTAAAGACCGGAACAAGGGTTCCCCTGTTATTGAAATAGATGTTTCAAGTGGCCTTTTTCACAATTTTGTACAGATACTGGAATCAATGTCGTGTGCCCTTAAAAGTACATTTAAGGTTTACCGAGCTTCTAGGTTAAATAAAAAAAGAAAAAATACTTGATTTATCTATCTACTACTACATTATTAAGCGAAGGTTAAGGGGTTCACAAGTGTCAAAAAATTAGAAAAGGACAGTATGCCCTAGAGATAATGTAAGGCTCAAGATTAACTACTATCACAGAAAGGAAAAAAAAAATGATAACTACTATGTAAATCTCTTCACCAAAAAACAACAGGGTAACTACTATGACCGTTGAGAGATATTATGATTTAGAGAGATAAGTGAGAGAGAGTGAAAAGGTGTGAGTTTTTTAAATTCAATCTGTCAAAAACAATGAAAAGTTACATGTCTAAAACTAACTTACAAAATTTAAACCTCCCATAACTACCAACGTGCATGTCTATTATATAATGATTTTCTCTTTCCTCATTCTCTTTGTAAATATCACTAGTGGGTTTACATGTGTTTCTCTTAGAAATTAAATAGGCAATGGCATAAATATTATTGCATATTTGCCATAGTTTGAGTACATGCAATGTTTGCAATAGGAGATTGCATAGATGTGCAATGAGAATAGAAGAATAACAAAGATTTTAAATAGCAAAAGTAAGCAATAAAAGTTGTTGACATTATAAAGAAAGTAACAGAAATTTAAGTATATTGTAACAAATTAAAGAAAATAAATGAATTTCGAAGTTCAACTCTGTGCTTTAGCGCTTTTTTGCCTTCTGGTCTTATGGAATATCAGATATGCTTGTACCACATATTTCATTGATGTTTGGTTCCGAAAAGTGTTGCATGCACTTCAAAAAATTTCTTTGAGTTCAGAATTTTTTGTTTGGCATGTTGCACAACATCAACGATATTCCCTTGCAGGAATATATCAATGTTAGATAGGATATATTATAAAGTAACTATTTTTTCTTGAAATTTAAAATTTGAAAATAATATATTCACTTTTTCTCTTCAACGATATTTCTCTCCAACCATATGGTACCATTAGGCTTTCAGTCAGAGACCGTGAGAGGAAGAGTGAGTATGATATTCAAGTGTGATTCCAGCCGGATTATGCATTTTTTTATTTTTTTACAAATTTAGTTAGGTAAATGGAATAAAGGATAAACAGAAAATGAATAACTAAACAAAACAAAAAAAATAAAAATAAATGTTATAAAAGTAAAAATAAACGTTATAAAAAGAATTTCCTTTTTGAATATTGGGTATTTAATTATATTCATTTTTTGTTTTATCAAACATTCAGTGTATGAACACATTTTTCTGGAAATGCAAAAATGTAAAAAAAAAATATCATTGGAATTATTTTTTGTTTGAAATTATTCTATTTTTAATTATTTATATTTTTTGGATTTTCCAAGGAATCAAAGTAAAATATCACAATCGAAAATACAAAAGAAAAACCAGAATTAAATTTGGCAAATTTTATATTTAGCAAATGACAAGAAATAAAATAGAAAGAGGTAATGATTTACTTTTTTGGCAAGATTCAATTGTGATTTTGGTTTGATCATGCACTTCTTTTTTTTATAATTTTTGTTTGATAAATCCAAAAAAGAAATGACCAAAACGATTCTAAAAACATATAAGAAATCAAAATTCAAGTTCCAAAAAAAAATAATTCTTTATTTGGAATCACATGCTTAGGAATAACATACTTTTGTTGTGATAAATTTTTTTTTCAATTGTTTTTCTATAAACCTTTCAAGCATTTTTCTATATAACTTCCACCTAAATTGTGATGATAACATTCAAAAACTAAAATTTTCTATATAACTTCCACCTAAATTGCGATTTTCAAAAACTAAAAATTGAAGATAAATTTATTTACCAAACATAGCTTATGATTAGAATAGAGGACAAAATATATTAGAACATTGGAAGAGACTAAAAAGGTATATTCTTTTTAAATGGTTTTTATTTTATTTTATACGGTATTAGTTAATATTATAATATTTTAAATTTGAGAGATTCATTACTATTTGAAAATTAAGAAAAACAAATATCATATTTTCAATCTATTCTCAATTTAAAAGTAGCCACATCTAATAATTTAAATTTAGATAATAACACAATACTTAAAAAATTTAAAAGGTTTGAATTAATTTTTTTGTTTTAATTCAAATAATTACACAATACTTAAAAATTTAAAAAGGTTTGAATTAAATTTTTTTAAAAAATTATTTATTATAATTTTGAGTAAGATTTCAACAAAATTAAAATTTTAATATGAAAAATTATTCTAAGAAAAAGATCAATGGGTCAATTATAGCCATAATGATAATATAAGAGAAAGTGATTGTTGCAATTTTTTAGGATATTTTTTATTGGTGGTCATAATCTATTCTTACTTGGTATGTGTAATAATTTTTAGAGCTAAGATTACGTATTTCTTATTTTTAAAAAAAAATTATTTTTTTGTAATTTTATAATTTTTCAAATAGGGTTATTGGAAGCCCAAATTTTTGGGCTGAGTAAAAAATGGGTTTTCACGAAATTGTAACTTCAAATGATAAACATGAGCATGGTTGGTTTACAAACCTAGAGAGTGGCTTTCAGGCTACAATTTTTTAGATTCAGATAAATCATGAGCATTTGGGTGGTTTACCATAGTTTTCAGGTGGAATAATATATATTTTTTCAAAATCAATCTCTACCATATAATGGGTGTCTTCGTCATTGGAATTCCATCAAAATTCAAGCAACTAAAGAACCACACATATGCAGTTATTGAAACCAATTTTGTGGGAAAATATAGAAATAATCTTTTCCAATATTCTGAAATTTTTGTCAGCAATATCTGCAAAAGTCATGAGAGACATTGAAACCAAAATTTAAAGAATATATTTGTCATCTTATTTCCATGATGACCACATGTTTGCCAAATACTGAATAAATATAAACTATAAAATTGGATTGGACAAATAAAGCATCACACAATTCCCAGAAGCCACAAAAAACAATAATGCCTATGAAAACTAGAGTTCCAAAGAATCTCTTCACCAAAGGCGAAGGGGGGTAACTACTCTGACCGTTGAGAGATATTAAAATATAGAGAGATACGTGAGAGCTAGTGAAAAGATGTGAGCTTTCTAAATTCAAATTGCCAAAAAAAATGAAAAAGTGCTTGTTATTTATAAAATTTAAATCTCTTGTAACTACCAACATGCGTGTCTATCATATAACGATGTTATCTTTCCTCATTCTCTCTCTTTCTCTACTAATTACAATTTTTCATCAAACTCACATTCTCAAACTGAAAGCCGAACAATATCATATCGTTCTCTCTCTGACTCTCTGACTTGAAGCCTCTAGAACATATTGTTGAAGAGGACTGAAAGCCTAGAGACCATATCGTTTTTTTTAAAAAAAAGGCATAATCCTACCTCTAACATTTAGAGATACCAAATAAGAATGGATTATAAATAAGCCACCAATAAAAAAATATCATAAAAAATTAAGTCGATCACTTCTCCTTATATTATCGTTATGGCTATAATTGAACCGTTAGCGTTTTTCTTAGAATACTTTTTTATATTAAAATTTTAATTTTGTTGAAATATTGATCAAAATTATAAATAAATAAAATTTTAAAAAAAAATTAATTCAAACTTTTTTAATTTTTAAGTATTGTGTAATTATCAAAATTAAAATAAAAAAATTTAACTCGAACCTTTTTAATTTTTAAGTATTGTGCTATTTTCTAAATTAAAATTATTTGATGTGGCTACTTTTAAATTGAGAATAGATTGAGAATATGATATTGGTTTTTTTAGATTTTCAATTATTAATGAATCACTCAAATTTAAAATATTATAATATCAACTAATATTGAATAAAATTAAAAAAAAAATTCACTTAAAAGCAATATACCTCTTTAATCTCTTCCAATGTCGTAATATATTTTGTCCTCCATTCTAATCATAAAATTTGTTTGCTAAATAAACTTATCTTCAACTTTTAGTTTTTGAACGTTAGCATCACAATTTAGGTGGAAGTTATATAGAAAAATGCTTGAAAGGCTTATAGAAATAAAATGGAAAAAAATATTATCACAACTAAAGTATGTTATTCCAAGGCATGCAATACTAAAAGCATGTGATTCCAAAAAAAGAATTATTTTTTTTGGAAATTGAATTTCGATTTCTTATATGTTTTTAGAATCTTTTCAGTTATTTCTTTTTTGGATTTACTAAACAAAAATTAAAAAAAAAATTTAAAAAAAGAAATTAAAAAAAGAAATGCATAATCATGGCAAAATCACAATTGAATCTCCCCAAAAAATTAAATCATTACCTCTTCTTTTTTTTTTTGTCATTTTTCTGAAAATAAAATTGAAACAAAGTTTAAAAGGTAAATTTCCCAAATTTACTTCTGTTTTTTCTTTTCTATTTTCTATTGTGATATTTTACTTTGATTCCTTGGAAAATCCAAACAATATAAATACTAAAAATTAGAATAATTTCAAACAAAAAATAATTCCAATGATCTTTTTGTTTTACATTTTTGCATTTCCAGAAAAAATATTTTCATACATTAAATGTTTGATAAAACCAAAAAATGCAAATAAGTAAAAACCCAATATTCAAAAAGGAAATTCTTTTATACCGTTTATTTTTTTTTTGTTTTGTTTTGTTATAGTTATGCATTTGATGTTTATCCTTTATTCTATTTATCTAACTAAAATTGTAAAAAAATAAGAAAAATAAAAAAAAATGCATAATCAAGCCAGAATCACACCAGAATATTCTGCTCACTCTTCCTCTCACACTCTCTGATTGAAAGCCTAACGGTATCATATGGTTGGAGAGAAATATCATTGAAGAGAAAAAGTGAATATATTAATTTCAAATTTTAAATTTCAAGAAAAAATAGTTACTCTATAATAGATCCTATCTAATATTCGTATATTCCTACAGCGCAATATCGTTGATGTTATGCAACATGCCATACAAAAAATTCGGAAAACGGAGAAATTTTTTGAAATGCATGCAACACTTTTCGCAACCAAACATCAATGAAATATGTGGTACAAGCATATCAGATATTCCTGAAGGCCAGAAGGCAAAAAAACGCTAAAGCACAAAGTTGAACTTCGGAATTCATGTATTTTCTTTAATTTGTTACAATATACTTAAACTTCTCTTACTTTCTTTATAATGTCAACAACTTTTATTGCTTACTATAGCTACTTAAAATATTTGTTATTCTTCTATTCTCATTGCACATCTATGAAATCTCCTATTTCAAGAAGATGTGCTTAGTTGTGAGAAGACCTATCGCATATCAAAATACTATTACATTGCATGTACTCTAACTATGGCAAATATACCATAATATTTACGCCATCGCCTATTTACTTTCTAGGTGCAACGCATGTAAACCCACTAGTAAATAGTGAAATTTAAAAAACCAAAATATTTATCTTGGGTCCACAAACTTTAGGAATAATGTTAAGCACAGTTTGCAGGAACCCAAGAGATTTTTGACACTGATCATATATTAACTAATAACGAACTTTAAAAAATAAAAAGTTCCACTAGTCGACTAGGCAATCTGCATTTGTGTTTACAAAACATACAAACATTATCTTCTATATGCTTGAAAATGAAAATGTGTTTTTAATATATATACTTGAATTATTTTTTGATTTTATATACTTGAAAATGAGATTTTGTTGAATCTGGATTTCAAATAACTCAGAACAATATTCTAAGTGACAACCAGAGAGATTAGTAGGGCTGGTCGGTTCCACCTGAGCTCTTTGGAAGGTCGGAAGCGCAGTAAACCATATCTGAAAATAGGAGCTTCTGTCTGAATTGACCGATTTTAGAGATAACATCCTAATGGGATACAAAACATAGGACAGGCCTATCAATTCACCAATATCTATGTCACGCACAAACAGATAATGAAGACTGTGAAGCACCTCATCCCTGTATCCAATTGGAATTTGCTAGGTTTTATCTAGATCTGTGGGATCTCTGTGGCACCCTGGGCTTCATCCAGTGGCTGACTCCTGGTTTTGCAAACCTCTTCTTTGAGTTATGGGGCTATCCATTAGCAAACTCTTAAGGTGTTTTCCTCTTTTTCTTTTTTTGGTAAGCTTTTGAGGTATTTCAGAAAGTGCCGACAATGGGAACTTTAAAGAGGTCATAAAGTGGATGTTAGCAGCAAAGGGCGTCTAGAAAAAATCACCTTACAAAAGAACTTGTCAGACAGGGTTTCAAAGGGGTGACAGATGAAGAGCTGATGCGAGATACGAAGATTATTGTGGGTGCTTCCTATGAGAAGTCTGAAGCTTAGTTTTGACACACACAGAGGGGGGGGGGGAAGAAAAAATCATCCTTATGGGAAGCCTTTGTGAAGTTATTGCATAGTAATTTGAGATGTCTAATTACACTAAACACATTGCCTGTCTCCTTGCTAGAAGATTCCTAGATAAGGAATCTAAATGTAATCAAATGGGGGCTCTAAGAAGCATTCCCCACTCCCACGCCCCCACCAAAAAATAAAAAAGTAGCCTGAACAAGGTTTTTGCAGAAACCAAGTACAACAAATTTAGGGCACGTTTGGATGGCCACTGTGTGGCTGCAATTCCTATAAAGTCATAGAATAAGGGGATAATAGGTTATTTTTCCTCCAGCCATTATCAAATAGGCACTACCCAGCATTTTCTACACAACCGGGGTTCAGACTTCAGAAAGTAAAGATGATAATTAAATTGCTGTGGTTCTCACACAAGAGGGTGAAGAAATAGTAGAGGTACGATTTAGACAGCAATGCAACCACAACCTTAGGTTCCTCTGTTGTGGGTGGCCTCAAACTGAATTTTGAAAACTTCTCTGCTCACATAGGGAGAAACCAAGTTTCTGAAGGAGTTCTCAAGGATACCAAAGGAAGGGCCCTGCACTGCAATTCAATATCACTAGAGATGGAGGATTCAGTGGTTCTTGAGTTACAAGTTCCATATCATGACCAAATGTTTATGTTGGTGGCTTCTCTAACATAACCTTCGCAGCTGTAACATGTCTTCAAGTAGATACAGGACTTGCTACAATTGATAAGTATCAAGTTTGTTGGCTATATTTGTCAGGCAGCCAGTGATGTTGTGGAAAAATTAGATAATTCCTAGGCCTCATTATCTTCTTATCTTCTTATCTTTAGGCAGGACTTGTTGCATGGAATGCAGATTGGATGTGATCTAAGCTCTTCTGGATCCGTTTATCCGGTCTAAATCACACTATGCTACTATAACTAGCACTGTGATTTATCACAGTGATTTAAATAAAATAGTAACAATAATCATTGCCATAGTATTCATTCAACAACCAAAATTTGGATTTCTAAAAGATATAAAAACTTCATAAAAGGACAATACATTGCTTTCAGTAATCCACAACAATCTGATGATATAAAGAAACATTTATATGTACTGCATTGTCGTATAGTACTCATAGTCTGATGAGTACTGACTTTATATATTTAACATAAAATTATCTCCTTTACAAAGTTAACCATTCTTAAAAACAAAAACATAAAATCCATCCATAGTGAGAGTAAATGATCCATGCGAAACGATGTGATTTAAGACTCTTTGAACAATTCTTATAAATAAAGGTACAAGAATAAATGTAATAGCATGCATCATTATCATCATAGCCTTTTCCCAATAAATGTAAGAGCAAGCATACCTTAGTGAAAACTCGAAGTAGCAAAGGGCAGGTCTGCATGTACAAAAGAACTAAATATTTGTCAAGTTATTAAAACAAGGTTTGCATAACACATTAAAAGATTGCTCAGAGCTTCAAAAATATGATACTAAGCAATCTATAACCAGAATATGATTGTTCCTTTGCAAGCAAAAAAATGCAATAGATTTTCTTATGGTTTCCTTTTACATAACATGAATATAAGTACAAAGTGCTGCTAAAAGCACATTGATCGAAGTCATTGAACATGAATTTAAGTACTGCTAAAAACACAATGACTATACTCCGCACCAGCCTATGGAGCCACATAACAAGATTACAGTTTAAATGCCCTAGAGGAAACAGATGGCAGGTAAATTTTACAAATTAGAAAAATAAGAAGGCGAAAAGGATGAAACATTGTCATTTTTACTTTTATTATCCTTGGGTCATGTGCTATCTATTGTTGGTAAGAAAGCTATAATTTTATCAAGTTCCCAAGAAAGGTAGCACATTTAATACCTTTCAATCATTTCTCTAAGAAACTGTGAGTATAGGTCTCTTATTAAGTTTCCAGTAATTCTCTCCAATAAATTTCTTTCTTCTCTCTTTTCTACCTCCTTTTTATTGAGCCCACCAGACCATACTAAGTTGACCTATCCAGCATTCACAGTCCGGCTTTCACTGCTTTTTGAATATTTTGCCCTAACCGATCAAAAAGCATCAAAACTACAAAGGTTGGCGCATTTGCATTAAAAAGAAACTACTTAAGGTAAACAACCATAAGATTTCACTTCTATCAGTCTCTCAATTCACCGCTTAACTTTATAAACAGAGGACTAGACTGACTTGTCCAACCAAATTAGAATAGAACAAGGCTCTTTTCCAACCTACTTTTTCTTTTCTTTTTTTTGTCATTTCCAATATTAGATATTTATAGCCATGGACTCTTTTGAAGAATACGATCAATTTCCTTAAGGTGCATGGAGATATCATCACTGTTTCTAGCCGTTGGTTCCTGAAAATGCAATTACATGTAGAGCATTTATTTCCCTTTGCAAATTGACCATTTCTCCAACCTTAAGTGAATTCGTGGTAATTGCCAAACAAATTTACTCCCAGGCATGCACATGCACACATTAGAAAATATGAGATATGCTACTCACCAAACTCATGGATCGCTGATCTTTAAGGCCTTATGCCCCTTCAATCCTTAAGGGGTTCAGCCTCCCTTATGAAAGAATTCCACAAACACCTTCATCACACTGCCATAAATCATGGAAGAAAGCCATAGAAAAACATCAAAACGAGGAGCATTACCTCGAACAAGACCAAATTTAGCATCTATGACCTCCTACATCTCAAATTGTGGCTCCAAAAAGCTACAAATTCAAACCTTATTCTGTCTCTTTTCCCTCTTCATGCCCTTTTCCGCTCCATGGGTGGGTGGGGGGGTGGTGGGTGGGAGGGAAGGGGAGTAGTTCGGTGGCGGGATTCCCAACTTGGATATTGTGAAGCGGTTATTAACACCATAACCATCAAGTACAGTTATTAATACCATTACCATCACCATCAAGTACAGTTATTAATACCATAACCATTAAGTAAGGTGCTTGAATCCCTATTGTTGTACCCTAATCATACTTTCGCTTTAGAGATATACTCTCACTTTGCCCCTCTGTACTTTAATGATACTTATTATCTATTGAGTCTACTATAAGCCTAATAGTTCCACCTAGAATTGATAAAATCAATCAAACTATTCCCATACTCCTGAGCATCATCAACAGGTCATTGTTGTCATGTCTCTCACTGCTGCCACTGACCGTAACTGGTATACTAGCACATAGTTAAGGTGTGGGTAGGGTGACGATCCCGCTCCAAAACCTCGATCCCACAGTTCTTGCAAAGGGATCTTGTGGGGACCCACGTTTTTTTATTTTGGGATCTCGCTCCAAAAAAGGGGACCATGTTCCATCCATCAGTGGAATCCAATTCCATTTTGAAATACATCCCCCCTCCCATCAACCATTGTCCAAGGTTTTGGTACATTAAAATATTGGGTTCCATGTCTGTGGATTATACTTTCATTAGCATATGATACCAAGTTAGATATTGCCATTGTCCGAAGTTCCTATTATTTAGGAATCATAAGTTCTATGATGTTAAAATCTAGTCCCTTTTTCTTGGTAAGTGGTGGTCTAGAGTGGCCCAGTTTACCAAATGACAAACATCCTAGTTTACCAAATGTCCTTATATCGGATGCCTGTGGCAGTCAGCAATAGGATCGAGCAGCTAATCCGCATATTCTTTTGAGTGGGAGACGCTGGTAACCACAAGCACCACCTAATCCAATGGGAAAAACTTTGCCTCCCCAAGAGGTTGGGAGGCCTTGGGATCAAAAACCTTAGAATGCAGAATGTTGCTCTTCTTGGTAAGTGGTGGCGGCGCCTACTTACTCTTAGGGGACATTTATGGATAGACATTTCGATGCGTAAATATCGGATACCCCAATCCCCATGGTTACCTGCTAGCAAAACCTACTATAGATCCTCTGGAATTTGAAACTCTAGATGCTCCACCTAACAGTCTTTCAAAAGTTGCATCCAGTTCCATCCCGAAGAGGGAAACAGGGTCCTCTTCTGGCATTGACCTTTCGCTAGGTCAAAGACTCCCTCGAGGAGAGATTCCTTGAAATCTACTCGGTTGCAAGTTTACAAGGAGCAACGGTGGCAGAGGAAATGCCTTTGGTTGGCTCCTCTAGAGCCTAAAACCCGGTGTTTAGACCTGCGCTTGTTGACTCCGAGATCCCCCTTTTTTTCGAGATGGCGGGCATCCTTCACTCTTGCTTTCTTGCCCATCAGGGTCAAGACAGCATCATCTGGACCCCTAACGCTTAAGGGACATTCTCGGTCTCCTCCTACCTCAATCTCACCCAACCACCTACCTTTCCACATAACCCCCTTTCTTTGGTGGCCAAGGCTTGGTCATCCTTCGCCCCTCCTAGGATCTAGGTCTTCTTGTAGATTGCCTTTTCACAAAAGGTTCTCACGGTACAAAGGCGAGGCATTTCTCTGCCCAATCGATGTGTTCTTTGCCTTAACATTGAGGAGTCAAACCCCCACTTGTTCATGTCATTCCCCTATCCTTACCAGTTGTGGGGGAAGTTACTCAGGCTCTTTCAAGTCTAGTGGGTTCTCCCAAATGCAGTTCCCCTGATCCCTAGTGCTATCAAACCTTTCCCTTGGCCTAAGGCTGGAATTCTTCTTTGGAAATCCGCCGTAGCCGAAACGCTTTGGTCACTATGGTTGGAGCACAACAAAAGGATTTTTTGAGGGGAATATTCCCCTGCCCACGAGATCTTCGCTAAACTTAAATCTAAGCTTGTACTTTGGGCTACGAACCACAAAAGCTTCAAAGGGGTCCCTCCATCAGCCTTCCACAAGGACTGGGTAACCACTTTGTAGTACCGCACGAGGCGCCTTCCTCGGGCGGCAAATTGGAGACCACATGACTTGGGTCAACATAAGTTGAACTTCAACGGGTGTTCCTTGGGAAACCCAAGGCATGCAGGGGTAGGAGTGATCCTTAAGGATCACTCGAGAACTACTATTGCCTGCCCTAATTGACTCTATGGAGGTAGAGGCCATGGCACTCCTCGAGGGACTCAAACTCATTCATCTCCACTGTAAGAACGTGATTGCTTGGGCCAACAACTCTTCCCCCCTCCTTGGGTTCTAGCTCACATTTTTTATGAGATTTATCACCTCTACAGGGGTCCGAGCGTCTCATGGAAGTATATCTGGAGGGAGTCCAACCAAGCAGCCGACACTCTGGCCAAGGAGGCAGCAGCCCATGATGGATTGTAGAATCGACTTTTGGATCAGTTTCTTTTTCTTGGTTGCTCTAATTTTTCATTGTAATCTTTAAAAAGAAGGTATTTGGATTTTGTTCTCTCCTCCCCCCCCCCCCTTTTTTTTTTTCTATAAAGGCTCCTTGTACTCAAGCTATCCAAGTGCGCGGATAGCCACTCTCCCCCTTTTCTCTCTCTTTTCGATATCATTGTACTCTATGACTTTTTACCCATATTTATAATAGTTAACATACTCAAAAAAAATAAAAATTCTAGTTCCTTTTTTGCATAGCACAAAGTTCTATTATTTTAGATTCTTAATTTGAACTAGGCATAGTCTAGAGTGACCCATTGTTTTATTTAAGTCCTACTGTGTAAGCAATCCCTCTTAGTTGTGAGAGCATATATTTTATTTAAATCTCATATTTATGATGTCCTATTGCTTTAGAGTCTTAAATCACAATGATGATTACCCCTAGTGGTGAGATGAGAATATATGCTTTCATTTCCAGCTTTAAAAAGCTTCTTAAGTTATTTTACATCAAAGAGAGAGAAAGTAGTTCATCTTGTCCTCTTGCCCCTTCAGAGAGTCAGTCTTTCAAAAACAATGGAAGCAAAGGAGACTACATTCGAAGAAGATGACCCTTGAGTGGTAGGATTTTGGGTTGTTGGGGACTCAAAGGAAATGGTGCATGCCAAACTTGTGTCACAATTTGAAGATGTAGTGGGAGGGACAGGTCTTGGTAATGGAGCACTCTGACGAGCCTCATCATCAACATCAAGGCGATCGCCTAATGCTTCTAATGCCCCAAGATCACCCTTGAGGCGGCCATCATTAGGATGAAAGTCCCATCCTTTGTACATCTCTGCATAGTCTGATCGCAGTCTACTTATCAACCTGTCATTGTAGCGAACACAAACCAATGTCTTGGAGAGTTGACCATTTAACATGTCCCGCTTAACACTGTGAATATAACCTCCAACACTTCTCAACACATGACGAGTTGACACTCTGAGACAACACCTTAACAGCTAGTGAATACAATTCAGGAACCCCACCACAATTAAGGGGGGGGGGGGGGGCACTTGATAAGGGATCCCTAGTAAATGGCACTTGCGAACCTCGAAGCCAATCAGCTGAGGACCTTGATTCCTATACTTTAAGAATCTCGATATTAAAACAAGAGTAACCCCATTATATGACATACTAAACATCAATTCCTTAACCAAGGGAACTCATACTAGCTCTACTTGACAACCTCATTTTTTTGTATAGTGGAGCTTAGATTCATGCTGGTCAAAACATCAAAGCCATTGACATCGGATCTCGCTCCCATAACCTAAGGATCTTCCATGTCTTGTTCATTGTACAAACACTGATCCTAACTCTAGGGAGCTTCCACTATAGGGCAGTTCGGTGGATCCCGAACCAATCCCACTCCCGCCTCCAACAACTATGTACTAGCAAAGGTGCAACACATCATAAGAGAGGCAATCCATGAATATTTTCGCACCTCCATCTCAAGCCAAGTGTGATCCCATTTATATTGGAAATGTACACCAGCTACCAAATTTTTCATAATGGTGATTTTCTTATCTTGTTAATCAGCACATTATCTTCTATTATTGCATGATGATACCTTAATATGGATTATCAAAAGCATCAAAGGGGATAATTGCATCACAATCCCAACACATACTAGGTTCACATTTCACTCGACATGTGGCTTCTTAGAAGCACATCTTTCTTAGTGCCTCTTAGAAGCTCATTATTCCACCTAAAGAGTGGCATCTAATTTTAATAGGTACTACATAATTTTTTGCTCAAGAGCAAGATAGCAATTTCCCAAACTTCAATCCCAACCTAGTGAATTATTCTTAAGAGATAAGCTAAATCATAGTTATGAAGACTGGGCCGACCGGTGGTTCAACTATTCGGACAATTGACCGGTGCCTTGGCAAGTTTGGTCCAAGGTAAAAATTAGATTAGGTCGAAAACCAGTCAAAACCAATCTTTGACTGGTAGGACCAGCCGGTTTTGAACGGTTCGACCATCTAAATGTAATTAGGAAAAAAAAAAATATATATTATATGCTTTTAAACTAATATATCTGTTTTTTTTCCTTTTATCTGAAATCCATGCTAACCTGTTCGACCGGTCGTTGGACCGGTTTTGACAAGACCAACTGGTCACCGGTTTGGCAACCGGTCCGATCTTGATAACACTGAGCTAAATATTTACTCATATCAATTCATAATATATCGATTCTTATACTTTGTACTGTCCTTGCAAATTTACCATACAAATATCAATTCCATTTGCTGAAAATACATCATCAAAAGGCTATTCTTTTTGCAAACTCACATGTAACCTAAATTAGCAACAAACAAGGAACTAATCAAGCAGCGCCAGTTTTCTAACATGCCAATTGAAGAGCATAATTTATCATGAGCCGATTGGAGAGCATAGTTTATCATGATAGATGGGGCCATTGGACAATGTAAGTCGCAATTTTATTTATGACAATAAATGGAAAATAGAAAATGAAAAGGATAATAAATACTTGTAAATAAAATAAAATAAATAAAACTAAAAGATAAAACAAAAAAGTGGGTTTGTTTTCCTTAGGTCTATCTAAGGGTCAGTTCCATATCTATCAAGGTTATTATGAACGTATGACCAGAGGAGCCTGCAAGCCCACGAATTACAAAGAAAATAGTCCTTTTAAAAAAAAAAAAAAAATTCATAGTGTTCCACCACAACCATTCATGAGCACTAAACCCCAACCCTAAACCTCAATCACTATACAGAAGCCACATATCGAATTGATATGAAAGAATCAAAATAAAACATGAATATAGAGGCTCTGGAAATCACGGCCCTCCTGTTAAATGCCACTTTTAACTTGCGATTTCAGTTTCCTGACCTTGTGTACTAAGAAGTTTAAAGAGCAGGACTAGAAATAAGAATAAGAAAAATCAAAGCCAGGCCTATGAGAAATCCCTGGAAATTTGTTGGAGGAGAGAAGAATCATGCCGTGTACCTTCTCTCTATCAACAGGCTCCGAACGAGGGCGAGAGGGTGGAGGAGGGGGTCCTCCCATGCGTGGTTGAGGAGGAGGTGGAAGAGGTCGCCCACCCTGCCTGCTCTGTTGTGCCTCTGCAACTGCGGCCATCTCTCTCACCATAACTCTCTTTCTCCCTCTCTGCAATTTCTTGAAATGCTCTCCAATTTATCGAGGAGAGTTTGTATTCAAATAGTATCCAAAGAAGCGTTGAACTGAAAAATCTTGGCAATGGCCTGAATATTTATTGGGAAAAGTTTACATGAGGTTGCAACCTTAAAATGTAGAATCACATATGCACTTTAAAAATCTGTGGGAAATATTGTTTTAATGTTAAGAAAGCCTCTAATCAATCATCTCGACATCAAAATCTATCAATACCAAAAAAAAAAAATTTTGAATCTCGAAAATAGTACATCTTACAACACATTATCTAGATCGTCCATTTTCAAGATTTTTATATATTTATAAATTTACTTGATTTTAACCATATTTAGAATTTAAAATTTTCTAATTAGATATAAAAATAGATTTTAAAATAATACTAAGAATATTTTACAACAAAATTACATGTTATGATTAAATTTCAAGGTGCACCTTAATTAGATTGTTTAAGGTTGCAACCTTATAGAAACCGCACCCATATTTATTTTTATCTCTAATTATAAAAATTAAAGCTTAAAAATTAGTGCACATGGAGTATAAAGAATTGAAAATTTTGAAAATTGACCGTCCAGAATATGTATTACAAAATGCACTATATCCAAGATTTGAAATCCTTTTTTCTCGTGTCTATAGATCTTGAGGTGGAGGTGATCGATTTGAAGAATTTTAAACATCAAAAGAACCTCTTCTAGTAAATTTTTGAGGTGTGTATTAATTTAATTATTTAGGAGATTGTATACAATAAGACCATTTACCTTTGATACAAGGCGATCACAATTCCTTAAATAGCTTGGATGTGTCACAAAGTTCGATAAATTTTTTTTTAAAGTGTGAACTTCATCAATAGAATAATTGCAGCCACCAATTGTACATCCAATGGTCAAGATTAATTTGACCACTTTGTATCAAAGGTACATTGTCTCATTTTATATTTTCCTATTATTTAGGGATTCACCTTTCTATAAACTTTGTTCATTTATTGAAATGACAAGTCATCTCTCACTAAGCCGATAGCTTTGAGAAAGGGGCAAGGGCTTGGGTCGCGGTAAAAGCACCTCTATGCCCTAGTCACTACATTGTGGTATTCATTCATACCTATACTTCCCCACTAACACCTTAAAAAAAACTAACTCCTAAACTATTTCAACCAGTGTTTTAAAAAACGCCGAGTTGAACCGGACTCGCCCGGTTCGACTCGGAAATCGTAAAAAGTGGATCGTATCGGCTGAAAAATCGGAAATCGTCCGGTTCTAGAGAGAATCGGACGATTCTGTACAGTGACTCGCCGATTCACTGTACGGAATAGGCGAGTCCAGAATGGAAATTTTTTTTTTTTTGTTTTTTTGTAATCCATGATAGATTTTTTTGTAATACTTGATCGATTTTTTTGTAATCCATGATCGAATTGTTTTTGTTTTTTTGTAATCCATGATCGAATTTTTTGTAATCCATGATCGAAATGTTTATTTTTTTTCTTGTAATCCATGATCGAATTTTTTGTTTTTTTTTTTTTTGTAACCCATGATAGAATTTTTTGTAATCCATGATCGAATGTTT